CTTCTGGTATTTTATTATTGTGCTATGTTTGCTAAGATTTGTCCCCTACTATTTCTAATCTAGCAACTTGCTGCTATCTAATAGGTGCTGTGTGTGATGATGGTTCACAAGGCATCTGCTAAATTCAAGAAAGAAGCACCCTTACTTTTCAACTACTTTTTTTCTGGGGGAAGTTGAACTAAGCCAACACTGCATCTGGCTATTTTTTTTTAATCACACTTGCTGGCTTGCAAACTACTAGGAAAATACTTTATTTGTATTAAGAAAAACAAAACCAAAAGAAGTTTAATTTTACCCTACTAGGAGCTGGTTTTAGACCACAAGAGTGAGCAAGAGTAGACACTGCACGATCTGGCATGATAATGTTATGTTGCACTGAGCTCTCCCCATCTACTCACAGGATCACAGCACTAGAGGCAGAGCGACTCCTTGAAAGCCAACAGCTTTCCACCTGCTGCTCAGTCTGACAGGGCTGCAAGCTCAGGAAATAGCCCATTTACTAACCTTGGCTTCTCTGCTCCTGGTATTCAGTTCAGCCAGCCAAGTCAGTGGTGCCATAATAGCAGTATTTATCCTTTTGGCAAGTGAGGAGACACAGAGAAAGCAGGGAAAAAAAGACAGAAGGCACCCCAGAACAGGAGTGAGGAAAGCCACATAGAGAGACAAAAGAGTGTAGAGCACATTTCGCAGAAGGCAGGACTCCCGCATCCATTAGGACTTGCTGTCAAAGCAACAGGCATTCCTGGCAGACGCAACTGACCACTGAAAAAATGTTTGTTTGTTTTAATAAAGAACAGAGAGGGAAAAAATAAAAGGTGAAAAAGAGGAGAGACCTTAAAAGAACAGGAGCTATGCAAAAAAAAAACAAACAAAAAAACAGGAGGCAGGGAGAGATGCTGTTTGTCTTCCTCATCTATAGAAAAGTGAAGGCACAAGACAAGGGAGAAGGAATAGCACAGGCTGCTGGGGAAGTCTGCTCCTGACAGACCTTCAGAGAAGTTCCTCTGGGACAGACAGCTGCCCTTCCCCGGGAGCCCGTAGGTAGCCCAACAGGGAGACAGCTGCCACTGAGTACCTGGCACCTCTGCCTGCAAGATGCTGCACCTGCCAAACACATGTTTTGATGGAATCTCAACCCAAATTTGTAATGTGAAGTTTGGGGATTTCTCTTGAATCCGGTTGAAATAAAGGAATAAAAAGTAAACCCAAACAACAGATCATCCTAACAAGATGTGTCTCATTAGCTACATTACTAAAAACCAAATCATAAAGCCTAATATTTACAAGCTTGAACGTAGAACCAACTTTGACTTCATGCCCATTTGAGGACATGAGTTAGGTCCCTCTAAAGTCTCACCTGAGCACATCAGTGCTCACAAATGTCCCTGTTGCTCAGAGCCCCTAACACTTCCCACGGGAACACTGGTAATACTCCACACAACAGCCTCAAAGCAAGATCAAGCCTGCAGTTCTGTGACCATATGAAGTACAGAGGGGGGCTGCCATTCCGGTGCCAGCAGTTTCTAGCTAACTCAACTTTCCAAAACGTATTGCTGTTCAATGCCAAAAATATGAACAATCGCAGCAAAGGTAAAAGGGCCTATAAAAACACGTCTCAACGTCTCACCGCTGTTAATCAGTAGCCTGGTAGTTCATTTTCTGAGATTATGAGGAATAATGTCCTGCCTTCCACAGTTAAGAGAAAATTAAAATATACAGAAAGGCTTTTGTATCTGCTGACCAAGCAAAAGACAACTTTTTCTCAGGCTACCCCGCTGACTCGTGTATCAACAGTTTGTCCCCCTGCCCCATGACTACATCTGACACCACCGCCCTGGCTTATATCACGAGTTGAAAAGTACTAGTCAGACTCCAAGATAAACTTGTCAATAGTGAGGTGCAGACATTCTTCCCTACCTGCTTGTGAGTGTCAGCTGTTTGTCTGGGAGCAGTCCCTTGAAAAGGTTTTACTAAAGGAGAAAGGGAAAGGGGGATGCAGAGGGCAATTCAAACAGAAAAGAGAAAAAAAAAAAAACGCAGAGGGGAACCCCACAAAAACTGCAAAGAGGAGAGAAAAAAAAAAAAAGAAAAAAACAACACCCTGTCCCCATCAGGTCCTCCCAACAACCTTCTTTATCAGAGGTTCATTGTCAATCAATTAGCCAAGGCAGCAGGGGTCTGTAGGAAGGGGGGTAGCTTGAGAGACAATGGTCTGCCCTGTTGTATTACTATTTAATCACTTTTCCTAAATAAATAAAGCAGCCCTGAGGCGCTGTCATGTCAAGGGAATTTATAACAAAAAACCCTTCATTTTTCATTGGTCATTACTTTTCCTTCCCTCCCACCCCTGCAGGACTAGAGAGGGTTATTACTGTAGCCTTAAGTTCCATCTTTGTGTTGCTTGCCTTTGATTCCCACTCGGACCTTGCCACTTTCTGGCACTAATTTGTCAGGCCGAACAAAGGAGGGATTTGTACCTCCTGTAAGGTCTCAATTAGGAAAGGCTTCTGCTGTATTATGTGCCATTGGGACAGGACACAAAGACGGTAATTACAGGAATTTGCACTAAATGGCTGAAGAATTCACAGCAAAACTTTTCTTCCTCCCCCCTCCTCATCCTTTTCCAAGCTTACCCCTCCCAGTAGCCCTGGGGAAAACTGCTCTCAATGCCTGCAAGATGTAATTACCAACAGCAGGCCCCTTAGGTTAAACAGCAGCCCACGCAGGGGAACAGCACAAACTGCCTGCAGGGAGCAAGGTACAAGCACAGAGCCTCAGCTTGCTGGTGTGCCTCCAACGTCTCCTCAGCACAAACTTTTCTGAACCAGACAAGACTTCCCAGTTTCTCCCAGTTATAATTACAAGTATTCATTTCTTTGTGCTGTGGTAACAGCTAGAAGTTCCATCTGACTCTTAAAGACCAACTCTGAGGGTCTCTGGGCACACAGCAAAGGCATGCTCCCAAAATGCTGTGTATCCCGAGCCTCTGGTACAGGTAGTCCCACTGGCCTGCTTCTCACAGACTCATCACAATGTATATTTTTCTGAACAAGCACTTTTGTTCGGTTCTGCAGACTAAAAGGAGCCCACACGAGCACTGGGAATGCCTAATGTATGTCAGGAAAAGACTCCATGCAACCCTGGCCCAGTCAGAGCACTTTATTTTTGTGGGGATCTCAAGTGTTCCATATTTGGGAGTGAAAATCCACTTTTTCCTACAGAAAAGTCTCCTCCTCTACCATATAAAGCAACACTAAAACCTATTTCACATTATAAACACAAACTGTGTTGTCATCCTGGGACCTGATCCTGTTGGAAATCATCCCTGGATCACTGGAAATGTCCATCTGAAACTCTCCTGAGCCTCAGTCAGAAGATGAAACAAAATGACAAAATCTTCCTCTACTGAGCTTTGAATGAACAGAAACAAGAAGAAAGGGGTAAAGTTTGAATATAATCTCGGAGACTGTCTTAAAAAGGAGCTGTTAATTCTGCAGTCTTCTTGGCTTTCACAAGGCCTGTCTGCTGGGTAACACAACAGGTTGGATCCATCCCAGGGATGCTTATTTGTCCCAGAACCCCCCTGCAGCTTTCATTCTCACAACTGTCTCTAAAGGTAAAACATCTCTGTTGTCTCTATTTTAGAGGTAGTAGATTTTTTTTAAGCTCTTAGGTACCCAGTGGAGTTCAGTTATTCTAGTACCTGGGCACCTTTAGTTTCAGCAGGAGTTTGGCACATAGAACAAGGAAAACAAGACATGAAGTCAGAGAGAGAGTTTGTAGCCAAGAACAGAATTAAAATCAGACAGAAGCCCCAAAGACATGACCAAACTGGTAACTGCAGTGAGGCCTACCTTCACCATGCTCCTGCTACCAAAGAAGTAGCATACACTGTGGAGTGCTAAGCAGGAGGCACATATGCAGGTGACCACTATGGAGCTGCAAAACCAGATACACCCATAGCCAGCTCTGAGGGCACCTCCATGTTTCTGTGCCTCAGGTCTCCCTTGGCAGGGATTCAGGCCGGCCAGCTGGCCCGGGGCCTGCACAGACCCCCACCCAGAGTCATGTGTGGTTCCAGACCAACAGGAGACCCCCACATCACACAGCTCCCCACCCTGGGGCAAATGCAGCACCTTAGCAGCTTCCCTAACAAAAGAGGAAAACCCTCCTGAAAAGCTGTTTTCTGATGCAGCTGGCAGTATAACTAAACTTAGTCACAGAGCTCAATTTTGGCACAAGGTTCTCAAATTTGCTCCGCAAAGGTGCCTTTACTAAAGTAAAAGGACAATGAACTGCATTCACATGAGTTCCCTCTCTTTCCCTTTCACTCCCAAACAGGATAAAATCATGCTCTTGCCTAGGACTAGAGTCAGCATTCAGATGATCTGAGATTTACAATTAGATGAAGAGGCTTAAGGTCATGTTTTCAACTTTGCTTCAGGAGAAGAACGGAGCAGGTAAGTTCATGCCTGAACCTCAGAGTATGTGTCTATAGAACGTGTTGCTAAAAGATATGGTATGTCAGGGAAAGCACAAGCATTGCTTGGAGAAGTGTCCCCAAAAGGTTCAGAACTGAAATGGAGTTCCAAAAACAAATTGAAGGAGACACAGTAATAAAAAGAAACACAACTGCTTGATGCTGGACACGTGTTCTATCCAGAATTCAGACCCCTTTAATTCTGGACCACCTTTCCAGACTCCTGAAGCAAGAAAACAGCTCAACTGCCCTGTAAAGAAGCCCTGGCCCACCTATGTATGTCATGCGTGCATGGTCTAACACTTCAGAACTCATCAAATGCTGATGAATCCCTGTATATCTTAGAGGTTTTTCTCCACATTTTAGAGAGCAAAGAAACATTAACACACCAAAGTGTCTATGGCTGCAGTAAGAGGCAGGAGCAGCTGTATGCTGCTAAAACAAATACAAGCTCTATCAATTGACTTTTTTTCCCCTGCAGAAGGTGAGTGGGTGCAGATGCTGCAGTCTGGTTGCTTACCTGCACACTTGAAGCTCTGAACTGTGAGCCCTCTCTCTAGAGACAGCGTGGTCAGGATGCTCAGGAAGCTGGTGGTCACAGACTGGCGCTTACTCTTTCTAAAGTCATTTCCAAAGGGCCGACCTCCAGGTTTGTTCCGAAGCGTGACCTGCAGGTTCTGACCTAAACTTCTAGTGGCATTGGCTGCTGCTTTCAGTGCCTCCATCCACTCCAAGGCCCTCTGACGGGTCTCTGCTCGCAGGCGGAGGACATCTTGAGGAAAAATGACCTGAAAGCAAGAGTCACAGCCATCCTGAGTATCTGTCTGGACCGATAGGCACACATCGATATTGTAGCTCAGCAGAGGATCTTCATCAAGCCTACCCGGTTGGAATGCCATGAGATAAGACCTGTTCAAGACAAAAGTAAATGCCTTCCAGTTATTCTGGACGGTTAACCTGTAAAGAGTCCCTGATTTGAGAACATTTTGGTACTCTTTATTATTTTCAGTCAAATTCATGGACAGCAAAAGTTCCATGGGCTTCTCTACCAATCCATTTGTTTGAGGAAGGTCACTGCTATTGTCAGGCTTTGGCACATTCTCCAGTTTCTCCTGCTGTCTTGTGAAAGTAGACACAGAAGCACGCACCGCTTCCCAGAGTTTCCGTCCCCAGTCCAAAGCCTCCCATGGGGACTCTGCCTTCAGCTGTAGCTGAGAGCTGTCTGACAGGGCAGCATCCACCACCTTGGCTTCAATGCTACCAGTAACAGTGACCCTTTGAAAATGCATGAGCGGATACATGGTGGGAAAAGTCTGGTTGCCACTGCTGTCCAGGCAATACAGGTACAGCTTGTACGGGGAGAGCTCAGCATAGCAGCTTTGCCAGTAGCTGTCATTGTTTCTTCTAATTTCTAAGTATCCCTTCTTCAGAATATTTGGAAACGTTGTCTTGTGTTCTGGAGGAAACAAAAATAGAACATTACCATTAATTCTTTCATTTCACTTTGCTTACACATCTCTCCTGTTATGAACATATTCTGAGACTAAGATCATGGAAATAGCCTTAACTCAGTAGCCTGTAATTATCAAACACAAGCACTGACTACCGAAAATACAGCATTTCCTTCCCCAGAGATGCTAAAACACTTTACAGAAAGGGGATGGGGAAACAGTGACAGACACCAAGTAATTTTCCATGTCCGGCAGGGGGCAGCCCCGGCCTCACCTCATGGCCTCACCGGGCACTCCGCACCCAGCCTCACACCAGAGACGGCCATGGGCAGTGATTTTTTGGGGGCTTTTTGGCGTGACCTGGGACCAGGATGTTTTGTGTTGCTCTTTTTACCAGAAAGGAGTTATGTTGATTTATGAGAATCAGGCTTGGGGCAAGAAGTTGTGACCAAAACTGAAAAATAATAGGCTGTCCAGGCTCAAAGCCACATATATATATGTCTTGGTACTGCTGATGTTTGGATCGGACCCTTTCAAAAATCCTGGCCCAAGGCAAAGTCAAGGGGAGCTTGCTTTATCCTGAGAAAACCAGCCAGCATGGGCACCAAAGGAATACAAATTTAGGAGTTATCTAAAGCATTGCTGAGTTTTAAAACAGGTTTCAGTGCAAAATTTGTTCCAATCTGACACACCCTGCTTCAGCCACTGTCAACACTTGTGAGCATCGTTACTTGATGGTCTATGCAAGTTTTGTTGGTTCCTGTACAAATGCAGCAGAGTTCACTGTTACATTCTAATGCCAACATTTGGCATCCTGAAGCAACACAGGGAACAAACTCTTGCTCTATTTGGCTTATACTTCACCTTTCCAGTAACCTATGATGGGTCTTGGCTTTCAGTGGCAGAATTAAGAGGCAGATGATGAGGTTTCTGCCTCCGGTTGCCCATCTCCCTTGGAGGTTTCTGTTCCCAAAGCAGGAGCAAGGAAACCACTTGGGAACAGCTGCCTGGCACAATTAGGCCAAAAAAATACCCAGCATCAATTGACCTTAATGCAAAGTGTTAGGAACCACAGTGAGAAGGAGCTCCTTCACTAGCAGTTTGTACCCTCAGGCTGTGAGCTTTCAAAGAGTGATGGGGCAGGCAGCTGGAGGCAGAAAAAATTTTCAACATCTCAGCTTAACCACTTACCACTCAAGTTAACAGCCCACACTCCAACAAGTTTTAAACGTGATCACCTGAGAGTATGCCTAGTATGTCTTCAATGCAGAGCTCAGACAGCAGAAGCACCTGGGTTTGACAGAGGCCAAGATAATCCTGTATATAAAGTACTGCATCCCCACTGTTCTGGGCTTCCCAGGATGGCTGGCAAAACAAGTTCTCAGTAAAGACCAACTTTAAATGTTTATAAGGATTCAGTAAAAAAGCTTCAACCTTAATGAATATCCATGAGAATTAATTGGCTTAATATACTTAATGTGAGTATGCAAACCTAAGACAGTTAAAAATGAGGGAAGGATGCTACCTCCTATCTACACTAACAAAATAGGACACGCTTAGGTTTTGCTTTGCCAGCTCAGCCTCAGCTTCCCCACGTAACCCACATACTCTGAATGGAGATGGCGTTTAACACCGTGTTCAAAGCACTCTACACTTTACCTAGAAAGATTTTCTGCATATATGATAGAAGTCATAACAATTTTTAAAAAATCATTACTTTGGCACTGTCTGAAATGGTAGAAAACAATATAACTGTATCTTGCAGACATATGCTACTGGAGAATATTTCAGTTAGATATGAAAACTGAAAACCCAATCTAAAACTTAAAATGGTAGAGAAAAAGCACACTTTCATAACCCCAAATGGATACACGCGTACACGCACACACACTAAAAGAGAACCAATTTAGTTCACCATACATCTCTGGCCCTGACATTCATTAGTATTTCTGCGCTAACTCAAAAGCCATTAATTTCTCTGAAACCCACACTAATCCCTTTGTAGTGCAGATAATGGGCAGCCATTCTAGAGTCATCTTCCCTTTCTATTAATCCAATCAGGGAAGCAGCGCTTCTGCTTCTGCAGCTCCAACTGCAATCTCTCTCGCTTCCATCAAGTACAGATGACAGTTCAAGCTTCTCTGTAATAAGACAAATCGTAACCTTCCCCCAGCCACCCCTCCTTCATCTGCACACAGGTTTGCTTGTCTTTTGTTGAGTTACAGAAAGGCTATCTCTCCCTGCCTTTCACAGAGGCACTCCCTCTCCCTCCTTCATCCCACTCTTTCCCTCAAGCCCCTGTAAATCAGCTCCACTGGCTCTTGCCCTAACTGAGACAAAATCAGCAGCCAACTTGATTAACATTCAAATGCCTCCTATAGTTAATGTTAGGGCAGTAGATGCTGGCAGAGACAGGCACACACACCCCTTAAAGCCCTCTGCTCCTTTGTCACCTCCATGCACATTGTGCTAGGTAATACCTTGCTTTTTGGAGAGCAAATGCTACCACCTCTCCATCCACCTTCCAAACAAAAACTGCATTTCTTTTCCTCCCCAAGGAGACAGGAAGAGTAAATTGAGGAAGAGTTAAAGAAAAAAAAAAAAAAGAAGTGGAAATAATCACAGTAAATTGCCCATGTCTAAGCCATTTGGAGTTCCAATTTCAAGATAAGAGGGGGAAGGAGGCAGAAGGAAACAAAGAGAGACTCAGCAGCTGAGGACAGGGCAATAGGCTCCTCAGCATCTCTCCTCTTCTTTGGGAACTCCCACCTCATTCCAGCTGGGCACTCTGCGCCACGCACACATCTGCTGCTTTCCGTGTCTGGGAGCCTGAGAGGGAGCCCAAACGTTGTCTCAGCACACCCAGGAGATTTATGTTCCTGAACAACTGACCGTACTTGAGTCTCTGCTGGTAAGGCACAAAAACATGCCCTGCTCTGCACTACTGAAGCATTTCTGATTACAGCAACACCAAGGAAAAGAGCAGAAGCAGAGATGCTTGGTTTCTGAGGGACTTGCCTCTTACGTGGTACTGCTCTCTGGATTCTCTAATGCTTAGTATGAGATGAGCACAAGTTACAGAGCTTTTGTCAGTGGTCCTCCTCTCAGATTCCCATAGTACTCAGCAGATGCCTTTGTGACCTAAAATGCTCCCTCAGGTCACTGTGTTGCTGCATTACAAGCTCCATAGTTTTTAGAGATGGCACTGCCAGACATGGTTGGAGAGTACAACTGCAAAAACCTGTGGAAGACACCTTAAATATCAAAACACTTTTCTCCAACAATTTCTCAATTCAAACACAGTTTTAGCATGGCAGTCTCAGCCAGAGATACAAGCTAGGAAAGAGGCCTCCTGCAGGTGAAGTTGGCCAGCTCAGCTTACTTGTACTTTTTGTCTACCTCAATTTTGCACATCATTTCCCACACTCCCTCCTGTAAGCTGCAGCATTTCTCCCCATCAGGAAAACAATTCACTCTTTTCATCTTCCTTAGGCTTAGGGAAAGCAAAACATGCTTTGAAAATGTTGAATTTGGCAACTTCTTAATTTTAGATTTGTGCATTCGCTGGTGGGGTTGGCTTAGCTGTTCAGCAAAATACGCTGAATGAAGTGTCTAAAGATATGAATAAAGAACCTAGACAAATTATTATTTATATATTTCCTTTCAGGGTGTGTTATTTTATGTTCTTTTAAACTATATGAAACTACTGAAGTGTACATGATCCCTACTGCCCAGCCACTCCATCCAAACCTTTTCGTTCCCCAGCAGCAAGTCAAACACTTGTGAAGTGCTTACTAAGTAGACCACCAGGACCCTGTGCCTACTGACACAGAGCCTGTGCTGGGGGGCAGTAAAGAAGGTGGTTGGATTCAGTCAAAGGGACAGAAAGGTGCAAGGCCAACCCTGAACAGCTCTGGAACGAACAGAAGTATATATAATGTGCAGAAAGAGATAGTTACCTACCACCAACTAGGAGATGCACAAAGCAGCAGCACTTGCAAAAGAAGTGAGAATATTAAATGAAAATGCATTTGCTGATCTTTGTATAAGTTCACTGAATTCAGCTTCAAAACGAAGAAGGGGGATAAAGTGATTGACAAAGCCATGAAAACAGGGTCGATTCACATTAGGGGAGTTAACTGACACCACTAAAGGAGAAGTCTTATATAGTGTAATAGCAACTAACCTGAAAATTCAGTTATGAAAGTCATCGCGACATGACTGGAAGCAATCAGCACTGCCCCAGGAGATGAAAACTCAGTTCATTAGCTTTACAGAGTGCTGTAACTCCAGAGCAAGAATCTGCACAGAACATAACCCTCCCAACCAGCATGGCCTCACAACCAAACTCATTGGTGCTGCTTGCTGCAACCCTCCTGCAGTGTGAAGTTCCTGACTGTACGCGAGCCCCTCCCATTGCCTCCCACTGCACTCCCCTCACCATGCCTCTGTGCCCTCGCATGGCCTCCCAGGCAGGGCAGGGGAGCCGGGCACGCTTCCCTCCATCTGACACAGCTGCCCAGCCTGGCCCCCTCTGCCACCGCTCTCCGCCAGCCCCCTGTGGCCCTTCCAGCTCGCAGGGTGCCCGTGCCCAAGAGGCAATCAGGTGTAAGCTGGAAGGGAACAACTGCAGCACACCCCGAGATAGCTGGCGGTGTTAGAGGAGAAGTATTATCTAGCAGATGAGATGAGGTGATCCAAATTACACTCCCATGTGAACCCATTCAAAGCACCTCACCTCTCTTTGTCCCTGTCACCCTCCCTATCTTTACTGTGTGGTTTATTTAAGCTGCAACCTCCTGGGAGAAGGGGCTGTCTCTTGCTAGATGGACTGACAGTCGCTGGCACTTATGGACCCAACTCAGTGGAGGGCATCCAACTACTTCCAACTGGCACTGGATTTCAAACAACAATTTTGCCTCCTCAAATCTTGAAAGGCTCCAAACCTCTGCAGTACAGCTAACTATTTCTCAACTACCTTTTAATGCTGAAAATAGATTGGCCACAGGGGGCACCGGCTCTCCAACTGGCTTGATACTTCTGGGATTATTTCCAAGTAGTTTGAGGCTTCCTGCTCTCCAGAGAGGAAGGTGCAGAAGTGTTGTTTCCGCACATCTGCCTCTCGGATGGCAGCACCATTATCTTCTGCACAATACCACACAGCTATAACGTTCTGCCATCCCGGTGGCAATTAGCAGCATATTGGTCTGCCCTGGCTGCGTGACTGCTACTTACCACTGACAAAAGATAGTGCTATACGAGTGGTTTTGCAAAACCACAAATGGCAATTAGACTTCAGAAACCTCCCTGAGAGACCAGTGAGGAGCTAGGCTTTACGCAGAGGGGCACTGTGAGGGCTCCGCAACTCCACAAGTCACACCTTCAACATCTCACACTGCTCAGGATCTCTGACCACTTTCGCCTCTGCAGCAGCTCCGTTACCTACCACAACACCTCACTGTTCCAAATAACTGTCTTTGCAGCTCCTTCCTGAGGAGGTGAAAAGATGTGAAGAGAGGGAAAAAATGGTAAATCAGTCAGCAGAGAGAAACAAGTGAAATCCTGGCCCCAATCGGAGTCGACTTTCACCTTGTTAACCAGTTCTAGAGCAGTCACCTTTCTCTGACATGCCTCTTTTGCCATGCCACAGCGCTGCAACCAATCCATACATGCAGCATGCTGGCAAAGCATACTGCTGAAATCAATGGGGCTGGCTGAATATGGGCAAAGCTCCTTGTTGGTGAAAGCTCTGCAGTTCCCTGAGCTCACACGCATGGCAGGCACACCAAGCAGCTACCCAGGAAAAATACTGTAGCACCCACACTCTTAGGAGTGGTTGTGTTTGAATGAAAACATCCACATGACTGTCAAAGATAACTGCTCACACATTGTGTTTTAATGATCTAAGCAAGCTTTCGCAGGATACTACAGAAGCAGTATTCTCCCTTTGTTTGCCAGGCCACATGCCCAGAAACACAAAAGCCTGCCTTGAATTTGCTTACAACTTTCTTCTTTGCTAGCTCCACTTACTGCTTGACACTGGTCTGTAGTACAAACAGCGCTCATTTCTAGTATACTAGCTGTTTTGCCAGCAGGCCTTAGAGATACAGACCCAAAAGGCACAGCTTCTTTTCAGAGCCTTTTCTTTCACAGCACATGGAAAGGATCCAGTTTCATTTTATTTGTATTATGAAAAAGCAAGCAGCAGGAACAGATAAGCTCATAGAAATAAATATACTATGAAGATAAAAAAAATAATTGTGAAGAGCTAATCTATGCAGCAACTCAGCCAGCCCAGAAGGACATGGAGACCTCTGCAGGCTCTAGAGGAAAGTCCTTTACCACAGTGAGGACTGAAAGGAGTGGCTGGAAATTGCTCTCAGTACCTCATATGCATTGGCTTAATCTGCATTAAAGCCCTGGAAAGGGATACCTCCACAGGCTGAGGCCATTAGGACTCTTTCAACTACTGCGACAGCTTTTAGCCAACCTTAAAATACATTTTTGGTCTCCTGTGGAGAATAATTACCAGTCCTGGATACAAATACCTGCAACACCTACTTTCTTGGCTTTGTTTTTCTGTTTTCAGCTCAGCTAGCAGTAGCAGCAAACTACGGCAAGCTCTCTAGTAAACACAGAGGGGAGAAATACCACAGCTACCTTCTAAACCCTGCACAGCAGCTGAACAGAACAGGTCAAGGAAAACAGACTAAAAGAGTTCATTTTCAGAGCACAGTCCTCCTTCCTCAAAGCAGGTACCACCACCCTTGAACCATCCCATGCAAAAAGGCTCTTGGAGGGAAATATAACAAGCACTGACAAATACCTTGGACCGTTGCAAACAGCAGAAAAGGGTGGGCTGAGCATCTTAGAGGTACTGAGTGCTGCTGGGCTACAGGAGGGTCCTGGCAGAAGTTCTTCAGCCACCCCTACTAATCCCTTTCCTGCCCTTGCTCAGTTCACCTCCAAGATCCCAGAACTCTACCCTACTGGGTCTCCTCTACAAAAAAAAGCCATTTTGAAGAGACCTGTGCTGCTGACAACTTTGAGCCCAGCAATGTGACTATGCAAGTCACCATGTGTACGGAGAAGGGGTGTAATTTGCTTTGCCCTGGAAAGAGGTGTCAGGGAACACATTCTGCATGCAGAACAGAGCCCCCACTCTACATGAAGCAAAATCTCTCCCTAAACAAAAATAGCAGCAGGTATGCATCCCTTGCACACAAAAGCACCTACCTTCCTTTGGGTTACAGAAACTATGCCCCAACATAACACAACAACCAACAGCTTTGTGTGTGTATACATATGTACTACATATACATTTGTATTTTTATCTACAAACATATCCACAAACACCCACTTAAGCACCTGCTTTTCATGCCCCCAAACAGCTGACTTACCTGGAAAACCTAACCTAAAAGCAGCCTACCTGTTCATAACCGGAGTCATTCCACCACTTGTTTCCCCCGCCCCATGCTTTCACAACCCTTTTGGTTTTAGAAATTCCTTTGTTAAGCCATGCCTTTATTTATATTATAAAACCTTTGTGGCACTGTTTTTCCTTTCTGTGCCCAATTCACTGCTAGTATCTACAAAATAAATCATAGAGACAGAGACAGTGCTTCAGTGTTTCTGAAGCTCTGAGCACAACCTCTTCCAGTGTGCTGCTTGAGAAAGGGAAAGCAAAAACTGTAACTTGGTGAAACACCACTGCCATACGGCTCACTGGAGATGCCTGCCTCAATGTGACAACAAGACTTCCTGCACCCCATACAAGCTGGCAGAGAAGCCTTAATATTGACGAGCACAAATAGCATGCTTGAGTTTTTGTTAATTGTTTATGGACTGAATAGGCTGCATTTCTTAAAGAAACACAGCAGCGATCTCAGGCCTCACAGTAAAGCTTTGTATACCCTCTTTTTAATGGCCGCTCATTGATTTCTTTATAAAAACTGACTTTGTTTGCATTTGCCATTCTCCCACTAGTTTTAGCATTCAAAGTTTTTTTAGTATAGGAAAATCAGGTAAGAAAACTATTATAAATGCAAACAAATGATTTCTTCCTGAGTCATAATAAATGAAGTAGGAGCAAAAAGTAAAACAAGCTTAGTTTTTCAAACCATCAAAGGAACAGAAGTCAAGATTGTTTTAAAAAATGATCATTAACCAGACAAATAGCTAGAACTGTATCAAAGATATGAGAGCCACGCTAATTTCTATCATTTTAAAAGCTAGCTCAGAGGGGTTTTTGTTTAGTTGCTTTTAAACAAGCAGCTTCCCTTTCAAGATAAATATTAAATCCAAATAGAGAAGCCTTCACATCGACAGAAACAATAAAGCATCTGTACAAACCTGTGTTTCCTTGGATGTCCTCTCCCTTGGTTAATGCCAGGTAAGAGAGCAGAGCACAGTTATTGTCCTGACCAGGCAGAGGTGGTTGCTGCAGAGAGGTGCCTGTGAAGACCATTCCCCAATTCACATGGCTGATATCGGAGCGCGACCTGTTGTGCCCTGGCTTGAACTTGGAGGATTCTTCATTCTGCACCAGGATGTCATTCACTGAGCGAGGCCTGTCTCTCCTCCGCTGGCAGATATTGAAGATGTTAAAAGCTGCAGTCTCCCCTTCCCCTGCCCAAGCAAGGCTGTCAGCAACTGTTCCCCTCTGCACCAAGCGCTGCTCTTTGGCAGGGAACGCTGTCTGAGCTTTGGTTTCCAACAGGCCATTTTTGCAGTGATCCCAGATGAGGTTACTTTTGGCTAAGGAGGTGACGTTCCTCAGATTCCTGCTTTCTGTTATCTGATCAAATACCTCGTGCCCAACCAGCTCAGGAACCTCCTGCACACCTGTACACCTCAGAGGGCTGAACGATCTTTTCAAGCTTAGTATCAAAACTATTGAAAAAGTCTTCAGTCACTTCCAAGGCAGGGCTAATGTCATCAACTTCAAGAGCCTCCATATCCTGGGCTGCCAAGGGGGACAAGGGAAAGAGCTGCTTCACCCCTGCCCTTGGCACACTTAGAGATTAACAAAGACATGCACCAACCACGATCCTTTGTGGTGGAACGGAACCAAACCAACCCTTGTCTTCAGATGCGAGACTTAACATCTTCTGATCGAGTTGGCTATAGTCACTCTATGAAGTAACCTCATCGTGACAGCAGGTTACCTGTAAAGCAAAGCAAAGCATCATGTCAGTACAGGCCTTTTCCCAGATAACTGTGTTTAACTGCACCACTCTTTCCAAAGTCACAGTGTTTTATGTCTTCTTAAACTGGAGCCTGCAGAGAGCAGGGTGGGGCACCAAATAAAGAGGACCCAAAGCAACACAAGTGACTAACCAAGCTGCAGAGATCTTCACTGGGAGGCAGTAGTGACTAACACTGAAAACACAACCACCTAGGGAATGCTTAGGATAGGCTGCTATGAGGCTGCAAGAAAAAGTTGATAGAAGAAGGGTAGCAAAATAAAGCAACAGATCTCAAATACTTTGCCTTTTTCTCCTAGATCGCTTGCACTCCTGATTTTAGGAGACTGGCATTAGCTTTGCAGCTGCTACTTTGCTACTTTGCTGCATGAACAGATTGATTTATTAGATATCACAATGCTAATAGGCTGCTGCAGACCAATGTGTGAGTGCTGCACATTTCTCTCTAGAATATTGCTGGGAACCTGTGTGAAATAGTGCAGCACACTAGGTCCCAGAAAGACAGTGCATCCTACGAGCAAAACAAAATACACCATAAACCATACTGTCATAAATCTGTCAATCTTTACTTCCAAGCAGCTGACTTGGTAAAACATAATAGAGAAGGGTTTTAAGGCTGGAACTATTGCAGAACTGTACTGACCCACCTGAGCTCACTCCAAGAAGGAAGGGAGGGTTATTGCACTCCCTGTGGTGCAATAAGGGGGTGTCTCATTGCCAATTTCTGTCTCACCAAGCCTGTTGCCTTTCAACCTCTCCCTCTTGAAGCTCCATCCACAGCGCTGCCATGCCCAAGGGATGTGCGGGGTAGGTGCGTTTAAACTGGGGAAACCAAATACACGCACATTCTTGGCACCTGGGTGCCAGTGGGAGAACAGCTCTCATGGCTGTTAGAAGAAACTACAGCACGTAGAGCCTGTGCAAGCAGTGCAGTCTGAAGTCAAGGAGGTCTATGTCCCAGTTTTGACCACATCAGCTCAAGTCCTAGAAGCAGCAAAGCTGCATTAGCTCAGAGCTAGATGCACACACTCTTAACAGAATTAATTAGCCTGGACAGGACTGATAATTAGCAGCTCATTAGCTTGTGAATGATGCTGAAGTGTTACCAAAACCCATAAAGATTTACACCCAGCAGGAAAAAACATCTATTAAACAGCATCAAACATACATAATGCTTATTTTTTTTTTTTTTCCTAATCCAGAACAGTCTGTTTGCTTTGCCCTAACTTAAATTAGCGAAGTTGTTTAAATAGGCACTCCTTCCTAAAACAGGCCAGCGGGAGGAAGGAGACCAGCACTCCCAAAAAGGAGGGGCTACAGAGTCCCGGAGCACAAAACTCAAAGCCCCTCCACAATCATCTGGTGGCTTCCTCCCATCCCTGCTTCTCCTGTGGCCAGCCACAACATGCTCGTGTTCAAAAGTAGCAGCTTGCCCCCCTTTGAAACAGATCAGCAGTTCAGACCATGATCTCTCTAAATACATTCCAAGTAAATAATTCAATAAATAAATAAATAAATAACCACATACACAACTCTGGAAGCTTGAAGGCTTTACTTACACTGGGATCTTCCTCCCTTTATCTCTTTGCAAGGATTTACATCACTAGTCTCACAGCAAACCAGGATGAGGCTCAGCTTCAACAAGCAGATGTAGAGTGAGACACACCAGAGCCAGAATTGCAATCAGAGCACTGAACAGAATGGATGTGGAGAGGTTTCAAATCAGAACAGTATGGGAACAGACTCTTTGCAAAGCTGTGCAGCTGTGCCAGTCGATGGCAGTGGGAAATAAAGTCATCCTGGGCACAGCTGCATTGTCAGCTTCATGCAGCACGATGTTCAGTCTCAAAGCTCATCCCTGCCAGCAACCCTTGAACAGCGTTCTGCTACCTGGTGCCTTACAGCTCCAACAGGCTAAGGGACATGATACGGTACAACCTATCCACTTATCCCACAGTCTCCTATGGTATTTTGAAGTTGCAAAACCACAACAGGCATTCACTTGAACAAACCAGTACCAACATAACCAGACGCCAAGGGTGAAAGTTGTAGGCTTGCCCATACAAAGACACTGCTTCCCAGGGGTTGGCACGGAACACAGCCTTGCTCCCACACAAGAGACTGGAGCAGCAATCACTCCAGAAGGGCTTGTGACATGCCACTGAAGCATTTCAGAAGAATTTCAGTGGTAGCAGATGCAGTGTTGCTCTGTTCATTATTTTAAATCATTAGGAAAGGTGGGAAGGGGAAGGGGAGAAAATTAACACTTACATTTAACAGTTTGATCTGTAAATGCTGGAAGCCATGCTTCATGTGGCTGCACGTTTCTCTGGATGCGGTGAGACTGGAGTTACCCCGTGTCACGCAGCCACGCGTGGTGCTGAAGAACTACAAACTGACCTCACTTCCGTTGAGATGCTGAATCACAAGGTCATGAGAAGATGACAGGCCCCTGCATTATATGGTTCACAAAAGCCAACACTAACAACTTCTAACTTGGTCTGTTTGCCCTGCTCAATAACTACAAGAAATGTAACCTCAGTGGAGGCAGGCTGATCCCCTTCTACACCACCAAGAACCTTCTTAGGTCAAAGAAATAGTTGTGCCCAGTGTGCAGCAATTCCCCCTAGTACTGCGATCCTGCAAGCCTCCATGGCATTTTCTGACAGTGACAGTCAACAAAAATTTCCTTTACATATTTTCAGGGATTTGGTGCCAAATGAAGGCAAACTTTGATATGCCAGTAAACAGCTCCATGAGAATCTCCTCCAGGAGGGAAAGCAGTGGAAATCACTCCCTTCATGTGAACAAAAAAGGAAAACGGTAGGCTAGGATGAACTCATTTTAAATTACTATCAAATGTAGTGCGTGATGGATTGCTTTTTGGAAACACATGAAATTTTCCAAAGATGTTCAGCCTAAGGTAATGAATATGAGGAAGAGGGATGTATCAGCCCAGACGACTAAAGACTGCTAAAGCTACAGGCAAGCATAAGCAAAGCTTTGTTACAGGAAGCAGAAACCTAATAGCTCATCCAGACCCCTGGGAATGAGTCTGACTGAAAATAGGTGAAGGAACATGGTGCACTGTTCTTAGCAAAAACTGCTCAACATGGGGCTTGCAGCAGCTGAAAAACATGCTTTTCTACACATCTGGTGCAGGTACAGCTTTTGTCCATGAACGTGTAGCAGTCAGATAATTAAGGGTCACTAACTACATGAGTAAAGTCTTTACTATCATAAGTGTGTAATGACCACATTACTCAAACGGCTGAGGTAAACAGCAATGATTGCTGGTCATGCCACACGAGATGCAGAAGCTCAGTTTAGTTAAGATTACACAAAGCCTAGAGAAGCCACGAAGGCTAACCTAGCTGACTTTCTTTACCGAAAGGGTTGTTAGACACTGGAACAGGCTGCCCAGGAAAGTGGTGGAGTCACCATCCCTGGAAGTCTTTAAAAGACGTTTAGATGTAGAGCTTAGGGATATGGTTTAATGGGGACTGTTAGCGTTAGGTCAGAGGTTGGACTCAATGATCTTGAGGTCTCTTCCAACCTAGAAATTCTGTGTGTGTGACTGAGCAATCTGAAAGCAGAGGACAATCATGGATGCCAAACGCCTAGGAAGGTACACTGGAAGAGATCATTTAACTTCCCGATGGGCTTTTGCCAGGGAGAATAGCCAGGCACCACCCCACAATATAAAAAGCATGGAAGAGGCAAGAGCACAAAGCAATCTTGTGGGCAACACATACTACCCCAACAGGCACTTGCTGTGTACCCCCACCTCACACGTTATGGTCAGTAGTGTCTTCAAATACACAGTTCTTGCACTTCTTAAATAGGGACAGGAAACAGGCCCAAATTCAGCCTTCTGCTAACGGAGAGGTAAACAAAACACAGTCACTTATCCTTTCCAGATGACCAGTGCCATGACACGGGTCTCTCCAAATTAACCACAGCACAAGTGGTTAATGTCAGACAAATCTGGAAACTGGGAAGCAGAGGGGGAGAGCAAGAAGGGGACATCACAGACCTCAGTGAGAAAGCAGTCTGGTTGGTTTTAGTGCTCACAAGACCCCTACTTCAGAGAACAGGTGATAGAGATGTATAAAACAATGAGTCATACACAACTGATAAATAGGGAACCTCCCTTTTTTCTTGTATATAGAGAGAGAACTAGAAAAGAACAATCGATGATATACACAGGCAATGTGTTCAGGAAGAAATGCATAAGCAAGAGTTGCTCCCAGCCAGCCAAAAGATAGCAAAACGTGAGCAATATTGTCAGAAGTTCCCAAATTTCACTCATTCCCAATGATTCTTAGGGTCAAATTTCTGACAGTCAATGGGGCATTGTGAAAATTCTCAAGACCACAAGGGGAGATCCACAAGTTACCTGTATGTGAACAGAGAGCAGCAGTGCCTCAGTCACTGGAGGGCTCGTCCTATCCCTGGAACCTGCTGTGGGAACCAGCTCTGCTTATCTCACGCTGCGTAGAAACTGCAGGCTGAAACTCCTACGCTAGCAAGGAAAACAGAATGGGACATTCTTCCAGTTTGGTAACAAGTTGGTAGCAGAGCTAATTAAAACAGCCACAGGAACCTTTATTCCTGGTGTGTTGCAGTCCTGGACCACTAACAGTTCAGCTTATGGGCTGTGACAAGCCTGGTCTGAATAACAGGTCATCTGAAGAAAAGACAGATCTACGACCACCTCGAATACAATCCACTGGGGCTAGTGCAGCTAATACCTAATGAGCCTTCCTGTCAGTCAGACTCTGAGCAACCTCAGCCTGTGACCCGACTCTCTTCAAGTGGCACCTTGAACAATCACGGCCTACAGGTTTTGCTGCAACAAGGACAAGCCCTGTGGGTCACATCGGCCAAGTGTTGTCCAGAATCTAAATAGGATGCCTTTAGGTCAATGACAGTCCCTGAAAACCAGGCTCTGTAGTACAGAATCCATTAAAAAAAAAAAAAAAAAGACGTTATGAAGCTGAAGACGACTTAGGAGTTACCTCTTAGTTAAGAAATATTGTGTATTTGTCAGGTGGCATACCTGACTGGCTGAAAGAGAGGAGGATGATACACCGGTGGCTGTCACACAAAATCTTTACCACTGTTTACACATTTTTGTACACTGCTGGCACAGACTGCTTGCAAAAAGAAGTTGAAAAATTCAAAGTGGCAGCAGAATGCAAGGTATCGTGCAGTGCCATCTTTCCAGCATCCCCCTGCTGTAACTAGACAGCAGATGATGTTTTATTTATTTACACTATAGCAAGGCCTACTCAACAAACATTCTCAATCTTTTCCTGACCAGGAGCTTGTTTAAAGGTCTCCCTCCCAGCCAGAAGCCCTCCTTCCCTCAGCTGTCCAGGAACCATAATGTTGCAGCTATTGTGGCTAAAACCTCAGCATTCAGCATCCCCAGCCATACCCACTGCGCTGCATGCCAGCCATACATAAACAAAACAGTTCTGGTTCAAAATGCTTGTACTCGTAGTGATTACAAATCACGTGTATGCACTGGCTACTTCTCTGAGTAGTGATTAAAAGCCACACTCCTGCTTGCCTCCCATACACAATTTGGAGGTGCAACTGATTACAAGGAACTTCACAAGGGATGATTGTAGGGAGTATCAGCTGGGACACTGTCCGTGTGAAACCAGAACGTTTTTTTGTACCATGGCTGTATTTTGTTCCCCAAGCACAAGGTCAGCCTTCTCCCCAGTCCTTTTAAAACCCTGGGTAACCTACTGCCTTTTTTGCTGAGTGAACAACACAAGACACAAGCTTGTTAGATTCTTCATTTAAATGTCTGAATGAAATTTACATTGCCTCACAAAGAAGAGGCATCCCCAGGCATCCTCACCCTGCATGGCAAGCTAACACATCACAACTATAAACACCTCATTCAGTGATGAGCACATTAATGAATAATAAGCAGTGCTTATAGGACACATTACTTTAATTTTAACTGCACTTTGGAAACGGTAATTAAAATTCAAACAACTGTAAGCTGAGGAGTGCAGAACACTCCTCAGCTGCACCACAGTGTTGCACTCAGTGTTGCACCACAACAAAGTAGATGTGGAATTAGAAGAGGACTGGGCAGTGGAAGAAGATGGACCACAGAAAGCTTGTCTTTCCCAGAGGCAATCCCATCACTGACTCCTTTTCCTTGCAGCCATCTGACACACACCTCTCCAGGCTGGGGAAGGATTTCAGGCCCAGGGAAACAGAGGGTCTCCTGAGACCCAGCCCCACCCCTACAGACCAAGGGGCAAACACTTGAAACCCACACTTCAGGCACAAAATCCACAGGAACAACGTGAATGAAGCAGTGCAGTGATTTGCCCTTAGGCACAAATGCATGGTCTTAAACATACCTGTAGTCATAACTAACCCAAAGGAGGGTAAAAGATTTCTGCGCTCAGGTTCATTTGCTTTTGTGCATACAGGTTTGTTTAGAACTATGTAACTTGCACTTTACATGCTGCTCTTGACTACAAGAACTCTTGCCTGTTCCAGATACCACAAGGACAATAAAACAGGACAGCCTGTGACTTCCTGACCTCAGCACAGAGTGCAGAGGAAGTCAAGGAGCAGGGTATCCGAGAGGCAGGACACAAACCTTATCCAGTACAAGAAGAAATGTGTGAATTGCACATTGCCACCACAACACACCAGCTTGTCTCCTAGAAAGTCAAAGAAATGTGGATATAACAAGTGACATAAACCATTTTTGATAAACGTTTCTGGTTAACACAACTGAAATTATAATTATCTCCCTGTTCCATATTTTCTAGAACTATGCTGAAGAGAAGAGCCAGCATTTAAAAGCTTGTCTTTTTCTTTATTTAAAAAAGATCAGAAATGAAGACATTTTCTGTTTGTCCCCATGAGTTCTCAACAGAAATGAAAGGCACATTTCGCTACTCATTTACAGACTGCTGGAAATCAGGCTGCTGAGCTTTCAGCTGTTGTGTTCTGCCTGACATGCTTCCCCTGATGCCCAGAGGTGGCTGCATTTAAGTAATGAAGGATGTATATAAGGGGGGGCTGCCACATAAAGACATTTATCTCAAAAGTAGGACTCATGGACTATAAGCAGCTTTGGGACTTTTCTAGACGAAGCACTAGCTGGTATAAATAGTAATGCAATAACTGAATCTGTTGCCATCTATGCCAGCCTACACAATTAATTTTTAGTTACCTCTGCAGTGTAGTTCTTTTGAGGCACACCAAGCAGGAAGCTATAATCAGCCTCCAATTGTGCCAGCACAGCCCAGTGCACCCGCATAACTGGGAATAGCAGCTGCCATTGCACCAGAGGCCAAGAAGGCAAGAAACAAGACCTCCCACAAGAACACGGGAGACATTTCTTCTCTGGGATTACAGCAATGCCAAAAGAAAATACAGACTTGAATTTCACATTTGTTCATCACGTGGCTTTCTGAGTAACCCTGATCTGCAACCAACTCCTCTTGCTCACCATGGTACCCAAAGAGCTTGGCTGGGACACTGCAAGCCTTTCCACAGTGAGACCCCGGATTCCCCATAACTATCAGTGGCTGAATGCTGACATTGATGGAACTACACGTTTAATAACAAACTCATCTTGAACCTCAAACTAAGCCCTCTTCTTGTCTTCCAAACAGCCAGGGCCACAGTGGTTTGGCACATTCATTATAAGGGAAAAGGGGCAGGGGAAGGAAAGGAAGCAATGATCCAAATAATGCTAAATTCAGCAGACTACCACAGCAACCCAAACCCTCAGGTCCTGGCAGCCCTGCCACAACTGCTAACCCCTGCAGGCTGGTTCAGCTACACAAGCTGCTATAGAGTCATTTGACTCCTCCAGCACAAACATTTGGTGTTTTCTAAACTGGTTATTACAAACGATCTTTGCAGAAGCCCAGTAGAAACCTCAGAACATCTGATTAAATTGAAATATGAACAATGCAACAGAACTGCAGTCTGATATGGTTCTGCAGGTATGATGCACCTAGCTGCCGTAGACTGATTAGATTCTTCATTCCACTACACAGTGCTATGTTTCACATTTTAGATTTCTGATTAGTGGAGGCCTTGTTAGTGTTAGGTCAGAGGTTGGACTCGATGATCTTGAGGTCTCTTCCAACCTAGACAATTCTGTGATTTTTTCGTCTTAAATTTAATCCTTTAATTTTGTTTTCCATATAGGATGTACAAACTATGAAAGCAGTAAGAGGGCAACTCCTGTTGCTTGAAGTGTATGGGTATCTGTCCTACCAAGATTCAGATGCTCTCGTATTCTTACACACAGTGACTTGTAGTCACTCAGCGGGATGACGCAGTGCCTAAAATTAGACTTGTCCGTAAATCCTCATAGGATCAGAGCTTTAAGTACATATTTACAGAGCAGAAAACAGATCAGGCACAAGCCATGATTCCTTGTGCTAACCTAATCTCGACTTTCTTCCCTTCCCTGGCAATGCCACTAACCCCAGTGTTCACATTGCTCCTCCAGCTGTCATGCACACCCATGCAGCCGATACTCTCCTGTCGGGCCTCTTTCACTCCAGCAGGTTTAATGCCACTGGCTTTGCTTGCCTGCTTGCTCCATAAGAGACACAATTTCGCTGCAGTGCAAAGCCACTACAGCATTATGTCACTGTGCTATTAAAACAGGGAGCGATGCCTTCGCGCTGTGCACACGCACACACACCCTGGATGTGCCTGCACCGACTGGGAGCGGCCCAAATTCCCGCGGAGAGCTGCGGAAAGGTGCGAGGCCGGGGCCTGCCCCGCAGGCGGGGCCGGAGCCTAGCGCCGAGCCGGCCACGCTCGGGCCTCGCCCCGCTGCGGGCGGCCCGGGGGGAGCCCGACCCGGCGGGACGTGGAGGCGGTCCCGAAGGGCTCGCCCAGCGTTCGAGCCCCGCGGCGCGCCCGGCCGCCCGGGAGGGTTTACCTGGCCGCCCGTGCTCCGAGGAAGGGGCTCCGCGCTCCCCGCTCCGAGCCCCCGGCCCGAGCCCAGCCCAGCCGGCGGCGCGCAGGCACGGCCCGGCCCGGCCCGGCCCCTCCTCGGCGGGGCCGCGTCCTGCCGCAAAGCCGGCCCGGCCGCCGCGGGAAACGGCGCCGCGGCACCAAGGTTCCCCCCGCCGGGGGCCGCCCGCGTCCCCCCCCCCGCCGGGAGAGGCGGCCCGGGGCCGGGACTCCCGGGCAAGGAGCCCCAGGCCGGCCCGGGCGCCGGGCGCCGAGGGCGCGGAGGCTTACCCGGGAGGGAGGGAGGTGGAATCGGTGTCGCCACAGGGCAGCAACAAGATCCCCGGTGCAGCCTGTTACCAAGGAAAACCAAAAGTTGCCCGACAGTTGCAAGTTGTTTATTCCATTGGAAAGTAGCGTTGGACCCCACCCTAAGGTAGGGGTTGTGCAAAAATAACCTCCAGGCCAGGCACACCTAGGTGTTGGTTAGGGACGTACCGCAGTCTGGAAGCCCAGCGCACCCCGAGCCACCCTGTGCAGCACCCAGGGAGCTGGTGCTGGGCTGAACCAGGCTGGATCAGTGCTCAGACAATGCTGCACTAAAGGGCCACGCTGAAGCGAGTCCATAACGGGGACTCGCAGTCATCCATAAAAGAAACGTGTTTGGTTATCTTCCATAAGCAGTTTTTCTTCTCTTCATCACATACCAACAATTTCGCATATACTACAGAATGTAACCAGGTTGCGTTCGTGTGCATTACCTGATTTCAGTGACAGCAAGGATGAATGAGCACCCATGGTGCACAAAGGTACCTGTTTGTCTGCCTGAAAATTAGGTAATCCTGGCCTTTCCAAACAATCTGTCAGTACAGCACCACGCATTTCAAGTTCAGCTCATAAAGATGAATGGCCTGTTCACTGAGCAACAGGCAAAGAGTTTTCTTTTTATTCTAAGTAAATTTTATTCACCACAATCCCTCTGGTGCAACATCATCACATACTTCCTCACTATTTATTTCCAACCACCCTTTTCTCACATGGTGCTGAGACATTTCTCTCTCAAGCTCCTCTGAACAAGAGCAGCCCGCTGGGTCTCCCAGGCCTACCAAGGCTTCAGAACTTCACCTCTCCGCCAGCCATGGACCCCCAGCTCCTGTTCTGGGTCCTGCAGACACCATGGGACATGCAGGCATCGCATCTGTGGGGACATCAATGCTGGGAGAGGGAACAGGCAAGCGGTATGCCCTGTGCTCAGCAGGTATGAAACCCATCTTCTCCTGGTTCTGATTGTAATGCAGTGTTGAAGAAAAATTGCTTTTGTTTAACAATATGCACATACTTAGGTAATTTTCTGGCAAGTGTCCCCTATCTCATCTTCCACCCACAATGGAAAAGTGACTTGATTGCAGGAGAGCATTGGACTTCTTGCAACAGCTGTAGGAGATCTGCTCAGGGATATGGCACAGATGTCACTTCTTTTTAGGGGAGGGAGAGGACGTTGAAGAAGGAAACAATTGGAAGACAGCAGAGAAGCCTCACTCAAGAATCATCATCCTTCTGCTCAAAAACAGACCGCCAGAGATGCTTGGCAGCCGTAGACCTGGAAGGACAGCAGCCATGTGCCATGAACCCAGCACAGCTTCAGCTGTCTCAGCCCCAGGTCCTCAGCATTCAATGCACTCAGCCGTGGTTCCTGCCTCCCTCTTTCCCACAGCCAAAGTATGTCCCACAGGGGCTCCTTGGGACCCAGTCTGACAAATATGTCCAGTCACTCAGGCTTGCACCAGGCATCATCTGCTGTGCAGCTGATGGGAAATGCGCCTCCTCCCAGTGCTCCGTGCCTTGGTAGATGTTTCCCGGGGGCTGGCCAGCACCACGGCACCTGCATCATCCCAGAATGGCCCCGTGCTCTGTGGAGGCTTGTAAAAAACACCATGTGTTCGCCCCAGGACAAAAGAGGCACACTTTTCAGCTCCCTGAAGAGTGCTTTTCCCAGCTCTGGATATTCCTAACTGTGCTCTCATCTGCTGGAAACCCTTTGCAAAAGGGCTGAGATGGATAGCACTTTCCCTTTTCTGTGCAAAATGCAGTTAGGATGCAACTTTCTTATGCTAGGTGTAGGGAACAGTTTGGTTTCAAGTTTTTACTTCTCTTTTGTGAGAAGCACTTTTACGAACAATGGTCATCGTTTTATTGACGGAAGGGATTCCATCCCCTTTCCTTTTTTTTTTTTTTTTTTTTTTTTTAAATCTGTAAGCCCTCACATATTCTTCTGCCACAGGTTTAAACAACTTAGTCTTTCTGGGCAGGTGGTCTACATTTTCTTCCTTTAATTCACTGGAGATTTCTCTGCCTGCAGACTGTGCGCTATTGGAAAGAACAAATGACCAGCCTTATCCTTTGAAGCTGCAGGATGACAGGCTCAAGTTCTGAAGAAATATGAACCTTGGAAAACGATGTTGTGATAACTTCACATACTTAAGAATATAAATCCCAGATTTTGTAGTTTTCTTTGTTTAAGGGTATCACCATCCTCCAACATGTTTCAAGCAAGTTAAAGACATGGTGGTGGCTATAACAAAACCTTCCACGCAGCTTGACTTCCAGCTTTGTCCCCCTTGCTCATCAACAATCAACATATGGCCTGAAGCTGAACACAGTGCGTAGAGCCATCTGGTGGTTAACTGCACAGGTAAACAAATTGTGCCCTGTATGTCCACCCGATTAAGACATAAATGAAGTCATCTTCCTTCTACCCAAATGCCTCAAATGTCAACTTTTTCTCAGCTTTTAGACTGAGATTCTGAAAGTTTAGAGTCAGCACCAGAAGAAGGAGAAAATGGCTCTATCTGCTAACACTGGAAACTTCACTTAGCTGCTTGTGTGAGAGCTTGCAGGACTGAGTACTCCTCTTTAGATCTGAATATCTCCATGAGAATCCTTTCCCAAACCCAGATCACCGTGCCATGAATTCATGAGTTTGGCTCCTTCTGATAAGAATCCAAACTTCTTTGCCTTTAACTGGGAAACTCTCAAGAATCCTTTGGGCTGTCATGATGTGGAAGGAGGAATGGCAATTTATTGTAGCCATTGACAGACTAGCCAGTTCACACCAGCTGAGCATTAGACCCACCGTCTTTCCTCACTGCCTCTGAAGCAGGGGCCTTTTTTCACACATTTTAATTACTGACTCCCTACATAGAAGCTATTACCTCACAGAAAGGCCGTTAACTGGCACGTTCAGCACAAGATGAAACCTTTCCGATAATTGTTCCTTAAGTTCATGTTTATGAAAATAAATATCATCAGATGATTAAATTAAACACCGCAGCCAGCCCAGCTATACACTATTCTCACTTATCACGCAGAAAGGGAGATCAAAGAGAAAGGCTCAGGTAGAGTTATTCCAACTCCTCCAACTTGGGTTGATAGCTACCTATTGAACACACTAATTAGCTTCCTGCTCAGGGTGTGCAGTGCAGAATTAACTCTCCTGAAATTGGCCGGTATAGCCATTTTCATGCCTTGCAAGCAACTGGATGCTGAGGGATGACTGCCACCTCCTTTTTCTCTGCACTGTAAAGCAGGAGCATAGACTGATTCTGATTTCAGAGACTCTTGGGCCTCCATCCCCTTTGGTGTCTTGTGTGGGTGTAAGAGCTGTGCCCAGGGGACGGGAGGAAAGGGTGGACGAGGCCCTCCTCCTTGGTCTCCTTCTGCCCCCAGCTCTCCTCTGCCCTTGCTGTGACCGGACAATTCCTGTCCTGGTGCTCCAGCAACGCCGGGCACCGCGTTGACCCTTAGCTCGGGCGCTGCTTAGCTGGGGAGATGGTTCCTGAAACGGGCTTTCTCCCAGCGCTTCCCTGCTTTGCTTTCGTGGGTCGCGGCGGGTGGAGGAGGAGGGCGCGCCCGCTGCCCTCCCCGCCGCGCCGCCCCGAAGCCCCGCTATTCTCCCGCTAATGGGATTGGCACCGCTTAAAGCGGTCTGCGCGGGTATTGTCTGCAGCCGCAGCAAGAGAAACATTATTCAAAGGCCATTCAGGCCCCAAAAGAAGCGGCAGAGCAGAGTAATTATCGGAGACTCTCCATTAACGAGGGCATCTTTGCTCTTTGTCTGTGTTGGTTTAATAAGGGCCACTAATGGGGCCGGGGGAGGGGCAGGCTAACGCTTCTAAACAAACCTCCTTCCCTCCCCCTGCCTCAGAGGACAGCCGGCCTGATGGGCGCTGACAGCCGAGCCAGGAGTTACCATATTGCGGAGTGACCTCCAGGAAACTCGGTGTGAACCCAGCCGCTTTCAGCCCCGTCCCCAGCGAGCCGCCGGGAGCATCGCTTGGCTAGCTGTTCTCTTTTTAGCCTTTCCGTAGTTCCCGGTGCTTGGCAGGCCCTTTTATACACCCCCGCCCGACCTCTCCCATGTCATCTCGTGACCCCTCATGGCTGGGCACAACGGCACTGAGTGGCAGTAATGAGGGCCGACAGTGCAGATTAAGGTCTCGCAGCAAAACCCGGGCTGCTGTCCATTACCCAGCAGCTGCAGCTGGGAGATGCTGCTGGGAAGGCAGGAGGGGAGCAGTGCTGGAGGTGGCATGCTGGGACCCAGCTAAGGCCAAGTGGCTCCTACCTTCTGGCTGCGGGTGCTTCTCTAGCGATGGAGGGAAAGCCAGCAGGAAACTCCAGCCTGAGATCCTTCAGAGCAGCTCTCTGTAGCTTGAGTTAAAATTCTTCCAAGGACCCCCGTCTGTCCTCATCTTCAAATACCAGTTTTAAGGGCCACCTTCTGAAGTACTTCACAGGATGAGGCGTACACTGGTCACTTCAACAGTGAAATATGGACAAGAGGTCTCAAGACATCTCTGCAAAAGACAGCATTCAGACAGTGTGCTGTAACAATACACATATATACAAGTAATTAACCAAAGGAATTTTGGTCTTTATTAGCCTTTTCCAATTACAATATAAAAAGTGTTGTGGATATAAGGCTGACAACTGCTGGACTCATTTTTAGTCAACTATGAAACCAAATAATAAACAAAATGAATCCTACAAGTTGGTGCAGGTCTTTTACTGAAGCCAAGTACTGTTCTTTCACACTGAACTAGCTCGCCTTCAGGTGACGCCACCCTAACTGATGG